AGGTTTCTAACATTTGACATTTGTTTACTTGTTCGTAACCTATAATTTTTGAAATGTGTTTTTACCACAGACCTACAAACTTGTTTGTAGGTCTGTGGTTTTTACCTATTTATATTTAATTTCTATGCTTTTACCGGTGTAAATAAATTTCTAGCCTTTTCTTATACCTAGTATATTCTTTTTCTATAGGTACTAGTTTTTTCAATACACGTTATCCAAGGAAAAATATAAAAAAACCTGCATATAATTCCTCCACTTGTGGAGATTCCACAATATGGAGCACCCTATCATTTATTTTGACTGACAACACCCCGTTTACCATTTTAATACAAAGTTTAAATTCGGTTTAAGAGCAATTGTACCTACTTAAAATATTTTAAATTTCAAATGTAAACAACTTTTTGACAGATCGAAACAGAGAAAAATATTTATTAAAAAGAGAAGGACTATTAACCACGTTGAATAACTAGCGATATAGTTTTATGGTCTGGTATTTGTGACGTCATAGTTAGGATTTTTGAACGCACTCTAAACGCAAAAATGCCTTAACTATTAACCAAGGTTAAGTTTAATAACCATAGTATTTCATGGTATTTACGCGAAAAAACGACTATCCAACAAATATTTTGTTAAATATTCTAATATATAATTAATAATAATCCTATTTACCTCTCTAACAGCTGTTAAAGGTAACAAACAGGGGGGTGAAACTCATATAGGAATATGCGCAACAAGCGCCTCCCGAGCAACGTTGCCATATTTTCTTTTTGTGGCTTAAGTCATCTTTTTTAATAATTATTTTAATTGTCAGTTTTGACATCTGTCAACAATAGAAAGAATATTGATAACGGTAAAGATCTATTTCTAAGCTTTTAAGTATTTTTTGAGTTTTTTCATCTGTATTGCTTTCCCTTGAAGTTACAGTAAGTATATACAATAAATCAGTTGCTTTTATAATGTTTTTTTGGAGATTGACATACCTATTAAATAATTAATTTGTGTGTAATTTATTACGATTAGTTTTTTTTGCAAAAACCAATACTACTTAATAATATTGGGACATTTGCTTTAATAGGGGCTATTGTTGTTTGAAAGTAATTTCCAGCGTACTGATGTCCCTGGTGGAAGAAGTTATTGAAATTTTTACTATTGTTAAAAAATTTAATGCATTAATGGACATCAAAATTTTTTTAATACAAGTATGTTTTTTTAGGGCCAAAACCGATGCAGGAGGAAAGTTTTATACCTTCTTTCACTTCTGAACCCATTCAAAATACAGATGCACTGTTTGTATATTCTTTAATTTATTTTATTGTTAAAATTAGTGTATTATAACCATTTACTTTTTAAAATAAATAAATCTTTGCAACTATTTTATTTTATTGGTCAAATTTAAATAAATTAATATTATAATTATTAATATATACAAAATAGATAAAGCCGGCCCTGTATTATAAAAGTTAATAAAATATTTGGAGTACGGCCCTAATTGGCAGGCGTTTATGACGTTTGTGTTTCTTAAGTTTAACACAGTGGTCGCCCTTCTTATATTCTTTTTCTATGGTAACAAAGGTCCATTATTATCCCGTTCTGCCTCAAAATAGTGTATTAAGGATGACACCATGGTGGCAACTCTTGACTCCGACTATTTAAAGGCTTCGGCATTTTAAATATAGGAAACACAAAAAAAACGATATATAACAAACACAAAAACGGCAATGAAAAATTAAACGATATAAAATAACACAAACAACAAACAAAATAAACGAAACAATACACGAATTAAAGTTTAATTTAAACGAAATATTCAAATACACAACTGACAGCTTCGAAATTCTAAAACGTCAAATTCTTTTTTATGTGTCATTTAAATATGAAATATTTGAATGTAAATATGACAACATCTTAATTGTTGCCAACTGAAGATGTTTAAAATGCATTCAAATATTCAATTACAGACTTCGATTTAGTCATTTAGTGTTGGTACCAATGCGTAAAATTTTTGTTTTATTGATGACGTGTACGTAGTTTACTTTTAAATTTACTACAGTTTTATGGTCTGGTATTTGTGACGTCATAATTGGGATTTTTGAACGCACTCTAAACGCAAAAATGCCTTAACTATTAACCAAAGTTAAGTTTAATAACCATAGTATTTCATGGTATTTACGCGAAAAAACGACTTTGGACAACCGAGAGTGCACTCTGGGCATATACTTGCTGTTTTCGAACAGCTGACAGTTGCATATATCTAGGTATATACCAGAGAATTCGAACGCGCAAGAGTCGTTTTTTCGCGTAAATACTATGTAATACTACGGTTAAATAAGTCATGACGTCACAGTTAATTCATATAACCATGGTTAGGTTTCTAACATTTGACATTTGTTTACTTGTTCTTAACCTATAATTTTTGAAATTTGTTTTTACCTATTTATATTTTATTTCTATGCTTTTACCGGTGTAAATAAATTTCTTTGCCTCTTCTTATACCTATATTATTATATATTATATTATTATTATATATTCTTTTTCTATAGGTACTAGTTTTTTCAATACACGTTATCCAATTCTCCTACATGTTTAATACAAAATAAGGAAGAATATAAAACAAACCTGCATATAATTCCTCCACTTGTGGAGATTCCACAATATGGAGCACCCTTTAATTTATTTTTACAAATACAAAGTTTAAATTCGGTTTAAGAGCAATTGTACCTACTTAAAATATTTTAGTCGTTTTTTCGCGTAAATACCATGAAATACTATGGTTATTAAACTTAACCTTGGTTAATAGTTAAGGCATTTTTGCGTTTAGAGTGCGTTCAAAAATACTAACTATGACGTCACAAATACCAGACCATAAAACTATATCGCTGAGCTACTTATTCAACGTGGTTAATAGTCTTTCTCTTTTTAATATATATATTTCTGTTTCGATCTGTCAAAAAGTTGTTTACATTTGAAATTTAAAATATTTTAAGTAGGTACAATTGCTCTTAAACCGAATTTAAACTTTGTATTAAAATGGTAAATGGGGCGTTGTCAGTAAAAATAAATGATAGGGTGCTCCATATTGTGGAATCTCCACAAGTGGAGGAATTATATTCAGGTTTGTTTTATATTCTTCCTTATTTTGTATTAAACATGTAGGAGAATTAGATAACGTGTATTGAAAAAACTAGTACCTATAGAAAAAGAATATACTAGGTATAAGAAGAGGCAAAGAAATTTATTTACACCGGTAAAAGCATAGAAATTAAATATAAATAGGTAAAAACACATTTCAAAAAGTATAGGTTATGAACAAGTAAACAAATGTCAAATGTTAGAAACCTAACCATGGTTATATGAATTAACTGTGACTTATTTAACCGTAGTATTACATAGTATTTACGCGAAAAAACGACTTTTAAATTTCAAATGTAAACAACTTTTTGACAGATCGAAACAGAGAAAAATATATATTAAAAAGAGAAAGACTATTAACCACTTTTTCTATGTTGAATAACTAGCTCAGCGATATAGTTTTATGGTCTGGTATTTGTGACGTCATAGTTAGGATTTTTTAACGCACTCTAAACGCAAAAATGCCTTAACTATTAACCAAGGTTAAGTTTAATAACCATAGTATTTCATGGTATTTACGCGAAAAAACGACTAAGGTAAACTTGGAGTTTTCGGGCTATCCTCGACTTCACTCGCATTGCTCGTATGCGAACCAAAAACGAGTGGTTTATTTGCGAATAGTTTTATGAAATGGTATTCTTGACAACCGTTCGCAAACAAAAGCGTACACGATAAAATTAAGCGAGTGATAGATCTGACAACGCAGCATTTACTAGAGTGTTTTTGGTATTTTTATTTTTTTGTATTGGTATTACCTTGAAGTTTGTGTAAATTTGGAATTTGTGTTTGTTACCAATATTTTGTTTTGTGTGAAAATATTAATTATTAAATAAAGAAATGGAAAGAAAAGGAAACATTACAGAAAATCAAAAAAAGATAATCATTGAGTATATGTAGATTTCCAAACGATTTATTAGGTATTGAGTTAATTCTTTCGTCAAACGAAATACTTTAATAAAATGTAAGTCCGTTAAGTCTTCGAATGGATCTATTCGCTGCCTATAACGACGTCTTTGCCTTGCCTCCACATTTTCTAACACATTTATTAAAATTATCTGAATTAATTCATCCATATTCACAATGGAAGGTTATGTGACATAACTTATGTCAAAAGTTTGAATAAAACGAACACTTATCGACGAAAACGAATACAAATTCCGCTCGCTGTAAATCATTCGCTTTTAATGCGCATACGCAGAATGTGCGAGTGGCCAAGAATAAGAAACTAGATATTCGAACGCAAAAGCGTATGCGATTTTCAAACTCACTTGTCAAGGATAGCACCCCAGGGGTAACCGAAGTTCGGTTACCGAACTGTACATGACGTTCAAATTTTGAACTTCAAAACACATCAAACATTTTTTTCATTTAAGAAAAATGAGTTTTTCGTAATTAAAAATGTTTGAAGTTTTGATGTTTGAAGTGCGACGTTGCCACACTTTTCGGTCTAACGTGCTTTGAAGCCTTCAAATTTAAGGTCATGTAAATTTTCGGGCGAACGAGTTTTGGTGCTACGTACTGCTCCCTTTTGTTTGTGTCATAAAAGTACTATCTCAAATTTGAGATACAACAATATTTCTATGAAAATGCCTAAAAAACAGTACTTTTATAACAAATATAAAAAAAAATAATGCGTGCGAAACCTGTGCATTTTGATTCCTGGGACCGTACAAAACCGTGCGTTTTGGAGCACTTCACCGTGCAATCTTACATTGCATATGCTATTTGGTGCTGGCAACACTGCTGTCTTTTTGTAATTGTGTAAACATAACCTTACTTAAATTTAAATATTTATAAAAAATTCTATAAATTTCTGGCCAAATAGCTTTTAAATTAAGCTAAAGGTCATTCCTCTGAACACAGAATTGTGTTCAGAATTAAGAAGAAGAAGAAGAAAATTCTATAAGCAGGAAATTATGAATTTGATAAATATATGTATATGTATTGCAAGTTTATTATATACCTTTTTAGTTGTGGTTGATTTAACATGTTTTATTTCAAAGCCAAATAGGGTAATAGGTTCACAGGGTAAGTACCTACTTAGGTTAAAAAAATAAATTAATGAACCCATAACAGTTTTAGTAGAGCACTATTCTATAGATATAGCACTATTATTATATTAGTCATATAACTGTTAAGTGAAGATCGTTAATAAACAATATAACTCTAATTTATGGTCATATTTGAAATATGTTCAAATCTATTTTTCTGGTAATGTTTCAGAAATTATAGATATAGGTATTCATTGTTGCCAGATTGGCCTTACATTTTTCCACTAACCTAGGCTATGTTCAATTCCCACTAGATTTAACCACTAGATTTAACCCCCTTTTCAATATATCAGTAAATAACTTATATTATAGGATTGCGTTGTATACTGGGTGTCCATTTTTCTATTCTTATAATGGGTAATACCCATTGGGTATCTCGCTTATCTTATCTCAGCAGTTTTACAAGCTAGCAAACAGATTTTGGAAAATTTGAATTCCCCTTAAAAAAGTGCATCAATAATAACTGAATTAGAATAAAAAATAAGTGAAATTTATTTTTAGATCAATTTTTGGCATTAAAAATGTGCAATTTTTCCTTATTTAACCAACTATTTATGTATCTAAAGATAAAACAAGATACCTATGCTTAGCCTCAAAAAATATACACCCTGAATATGATTTTTATGTTTATTGCACTACAGGATTCACCGTATCATTCTATGTATGGGTTGCCCATAATGGGTATCTTTTTTATTTGAAGAGCTACAAGGTCTGTTAAATTAGAGAAAAGTTGCGTAATTAGTCTTAGCGTAGCGTATTCATGCCAATTAAAATAAGAAAAAAAATAAGTTAAAAGTTGTAACTGTGTTAAGTTATGGTTGCTTTCATTTTAATGAAAATAAGAAATAATCAATAAGAATAAAGATAAATAACTTTTAACTTTGGCTCTTATTTTTAAGTAAGGTAAGGTGGGGTAATTGTAAGATTGGGGTAAATGTAACATCTTGCGATAAAATTCTTACTTGAAGTAGTAAATAAAAGCAAACGAATAAAAACGCACGCTGTTGTCTTGGGTTGCATATCTAAGTAGAGAAATCTCGACAACACTGCGCAGTACCACTTGGTTACTTAAGTACATAATAATAAATAATTTTTTCCTTTTTGTTTTAACCGCGAAGTCTGTTAATTCTTAAATTAAAAATAAAAAAAAGTTTACACACCTTATGATTATTAACGGATTCACGCGATTTTATACCAAAATAATCCTATTTTTTTCCACTTTTACATTAGCCCCATACCCACTACAAATACATTAATAGTGTAATGTAATTAGCCGCTAACACATTTGCCCCATTTTTCGGGGCAAATGCAATATGTTAGGAACGTTTAAAAAAAAAGATGTAATTTTTTAGCCCTTAGTTTCTAACGTTTTATACTTTAGAATATAATTCTCGAGTAGTTGGGCTATATAATGAGCTTTGGATTTGGTTTAGTTTTATCACTCCTTACTTTTAATTCAAGAGACAATGCCATGGCATGCAACTAGTAAAAAAACATATCGCAATTACCCCACCTTACCTTATGTACACTAGGATGGGCCGAAAAAAAATAAAATTGAAAATTTTGATTTGGAATACTGCCCAATATTATGAGATTGGTAATGCAAAGATAATTTTTATTTTCAATATTTATGTGGTAATAAACCTTTTGCTCCCTACCGAGCAAAATTCAAATTTAAAAAAAAATTGTACATAAAAGCTATTTTTTTATATATTTCAATGGTATTTTTGTAGTGTATCTTTAAAACCTTTATCCTTGCAAAAAACTGCTATCTTTAAAACAATTTTTTGTTAAAAAAAAACAATAAATTGTACTAGGTACGGCTTTGTTCCTTCCATAATACCACGCGCAGTGCACCAATTTTTGCCAAAAGCCTTTGAGAATGTATTGTTAATTTTTTTGATTAAAATGATTACAATTTGGAGGATTTAAAATTTTCCAAGTTGTAGTCATTTTAATCCAAAAAATTAACAATACATTCACAAAGGCTTTTGGCACCAATTGGTGCACTGCGCATTAGGGTGTTTCAAAAAAATCGACTTTTTCTTTTTCTTCAAATGGTCGGCAAATTCTTTCAGAGGATGTCAACACAAAGACCTCGTCAAAATTTGAGCTTTTAATTTGAAGATTTAGAGGTCGCGGATCGCCATTTTCTATTTCCCATTTAAATAACATGGGAATTATTTTTTTTTAACTTTGAAATTTTATACGTCTGAATCAAATCAACTTATGTCAAGGATCATCTTAGATTTTCATAGTAAATTTAACGCTCTACAAAAAAGGTCTCCTATCATTTTTCTATAAATTGATTCCTTCCAGAGTTATTCGAGGCCAAAGTATGATTTCCATCGAATTTTCGCGTTTTTTTAACATTTATGGTACAATTATCATTATACGGGGGTCCCGAAATCAGGGGGCCAAACTTAAACAGTGCATTATTCGTATAAAAATAACACTTATTTTGTTTAATAAACATTTATCAAAAAATGCTCCCTAAAGGAGCTACGGCCCCCTGAATAGGAGCCTAAGAGGATAATTTTTTTAAAACTATTCCTAGAGGGTTGAACATGAACAAATGAATTTTCGGTAGGTACTTTGGTAATTTTGACATGCTGAATCTAGATCTATGATCAAAACTGTTAAAATTTAATCATAGGCGTAACATTTGGAGGGGGCAAAGTTACAAAAATAGCCCTCACTTTTTTCTGGGTTAATAATTTAATTTTTTTATGAAATTATGAGAATTTATAGTTTTTTACGAAAAATAGGTACTCTTGATTTGAATTGCTCAGATGCACCATTTTCGAGAAAAATGCATTTATAAATAAATTACTTTGCATATTATACAAATCTCATATTTTCATTAAAACTTTGTAGTAGGCTTTGGAAAAAAATTACGTTTTTTTGTTTTTTTGTTTTTTTTTTACAACACTTCCTATGTTTCAGATATAAATATTTGATTTTTTTACTACATGATGCTAAAAGTTGAAAAAACGAGAAAATTCGATGGAAATCAAACTTTGGCCTCGAATAACTCTGGAAGAAATCAATTTATAGAAAAATTATAAGAGACATTTTTTATAGAGCGTTAAATTTACTATAAAAATCTAAGATGTTCCTTGCCATAAGTTGATTCGATATAGACGTATAAAATTCCAAAGTTAAAAAAAAAATTTCCTATGTTATTTAAATGGGAAATAGAAAATTGCGATCCGCGACCTCTAAATCTTCAAATTAAAAGCTCAAATTTTAACGAGGTCTTTGTTTTGACATCCTCTGAAAGAATTTGCTGACCATTTGAAGAAAAAGAAAAAGTCGATTTTTTTGAAACACCCTACTGCGCATGGTATTTTGGAAGGGACAAAACCGTATTTTATTGTTTTTTTGATAAAAAAATTGTTTAAAGATAGCAGCTTTTTGCAAAGATAAAGGTTTTAAAGATACACTGCAAAAAAATCATTGAAATAAAAAAAAAAGTTTTTATCTACAATTTTTTTTTAATCTGATTTTTTTAATTTGTAGGGTGCAAAAGGTTTATCACCATAAAAAAGTTGTAAATAAAAATTATCTTTGCATTATCACTTTTATAATATTATAATATTCCAAATCAAAATTTCAAAATTTTCATTTTAATTCTTGTTTTTAATTTTTGAGCTCTGGCAAAAGACCCTGTTCCAAATCCAATTACTAGTTTTTTTATTTTTCGGCCCACCCTAATGTACATAGTGTACATTGTACAGGGTGATCCCCTATAATGTCGCCCCCCTTTAACTTTTTTATTTTAAGTGTCCCAAAAAATTTAAAAGTGTGGTTATGTAGGTACTAAAAATACTTTTTTCTACTTATAAAGAAAATTGGAAAATTGTTCGGTATACAGGGAAAACAAAAAGTTTATTTTTTTCCAATGGATCACCCTATATATGTATTTATTTTTCGATTCCTTGTAAAATTCTATGCATATTTCATATAACATACCATATAACTAAATTCAACCGTTTCTCAAATATTTAAATTATTTTTAAGATGATAAGTTGACACTAGTTTGTCTTTCTCTGTCTGAGTACACCATTTTTACTTATTTAACAAGACATATTGACATAATGTCACTATAGTAATTTATTTTCAATAAAAATTTTGGTATACTGAGGCTTCTTGATTTCTAACAGTTTAAAAAAACATAATGATAACATTTCGAATGGTAATATTTCGGAAACTGTTGAATTTAGGTATATGGTTTGTTATATGAATTATGCTCAGAATTTTACAAGGAATCGAAAAATAAATTCATATATAGGGTGATCCATTAAAAAAATAAACTTTTTGTTTTTCCCTGTATATTAATCATTTTTAAATTTTTTGGGGCACTTAAAATAAAAAAGTTAAAAGGGGGCGACATTATAGGGGATCACCCTGTACACTCACTGCCATCTTCACACCCAAAGAACACTTTGATTACACCTCCCGCAACTAAATGGTGACAACATTTTTTATTTCTTATGTTATCAGCATGAATGATCAATCGCGACCATATTTCTTATTCCTTGTTTCTTATTTCTTATTTTAAGTGAGCATGAATACGCCTAAAAGTCTAATAAAATTGCATTTAAAAATTCAGCGAACAATAATTTGAAGAAATAAAATTGAAAACCTGTGAAAACCAAATAACTTCATTATTCCTGAAACTTTTGAAAAAAAAACTGAAAACCTGTCTAAACCGAATAGCTTCATTATTCCTGGGCTTCTGAAAAAGTAAGTTTTACATGTAAACATGTGATTTTTTCGCCTACTATAATTTGACTTACCACCACCATCTTTTGTTTTTACTATGGCCGCCATATTAAGATTTTATATATTTGAGAACCGTTGGTTTTTTTCCAAATAAAGGCTTGTAATTACGCAACTTTTCTCTAATTTAACCGATCGTTTAGCTCTTTAAATAAAAAAATGCCATAGAAATATACACAATGAACTTCTAGG